GTACCGCAGCGAGGACATCCTCTTCTGCGTCGACGTCGACGTAGAATCCAAGGTGGAGATGAAGGCCCATGGGCCCAACGGCCGGCCAACCACCCGCTTGTACGCCATCAAGCAGGCCGTGCTCTCCTTCGTCAATTCCAAGCTCAACATCAACCCCGACCATCGGTTTTCCTTTGCTTCTTTCGGCAGCGAGCTCAGATGGGTGTGTTCCCTTTCCCTTTTTCCAAATTTATTTCTTAGTTTAAAATTTTTTTTTCGTGAAATTTCAATGGGTTCTGAGATTGATCATGTTGATTGGTTTTCTGAGAGTGACGGGGTTTTGAGATTTGGGGTTTTGGTAATGGGGGGAATCCTTTGTGCATTTGGGGAGTCAATTCCTTGTTAATGGTGGGTTTTGGTATATATGTATATATATTAAGAGCTATTTGGTATAAACAATTGACCATACGGAGATTAAAGATTTGGCATATCAAGAGCATCTTGCTCTTAGGAGTCAGTTCTTCTAGGTTTCTGACATTCTCTTCATCTTTGTCCTTCGTTTCTTGAAATTAAGGGGTTCGTGTATTAGGAGATGAAGTGGTTAGCTTGTGTGAATTTAATAATGGGGTTTTCGAGATTTGGTGTGTTCTTCCCAGGTTTGCAGTGACTCTAGTAAATTCCACTAATTCGTCCCATATTTTGTTGATGTAGCGGTTTTGTGACCTTTTTGAAGTGTGTTTTGTTGCTGTTTTCGCAATTTTAGCTTAGTTTTGTGAGAATAATGGTGGATTTGTGTGGACATCAAAGGAAAGTCAATTAAGCCCCTAGAACCTTACATTACATTGCTAGAAAGCCCTTAAACTAGTATTTTAATATGTTAAGCCCCTATGGTTTTTATTTTAATTATATTTAGCCCCCCATGGCAATTTTCCATCCAAACACCACCACAAACACTATTTTTGGTTAGGGTAAAATGAGAATATTGTAAAATGAGTACCATGTCCCTCATGTGGGATGATAAGATCCCTTGAACTGGAATCAGGCGAAATAGTTTAGGGTAAAATTCAATTTATTTCCTCTTGAACTTGGGAGAGTTCATTTAGTGACGAAGCCCTAGTGCCCACCAACATAAGAGACTTGTGAGATCTCAAAGAAGCTTAAGCTGAAGATGCATAAATTCTCGGATATGGCGCATTGAACCAAATACATAACAACCTTTGGAATATATAAAATGCACAGAAAAGCAAATGGATGAAGCATGATTTGGGTTTGTGAATTTTTATGAAAAATCAAATGGAAGTTGGGGGAATAAGGAGAAATTGTAAATGACTCGAATGACAATTTACTCCAAAAAACAAATTCATTAGACAATAAGACTGTTATACATTTATACCCTTCTATAGGTTTGTTAAAACGTGATGGGACTAAATAGAATGAAAAGAAAAACTATTGCGGCTTAATAGATTAAAATACTAGTTTAAGGTTAACGGGTTTTTATAAGTTTTATATTGTAATATAAAGTTAGGAATGTAACAGATTAAAGTAATAATTTGAGGGCTTTTTAGAAATGCAATGTAAAGTTAGGGGCTTAATTGACTTTGAGGTTTGTGAATATCCCACTAAGATTTCTTGAAATGTTTCAGGATGGCATATAATATGATGGATTTTGCTATAGTTTCAAATTTTGTTTATTTATTTATTTATTTCGCTGTTACACATGCTCCAACTTGTAGGAAACTACATAGTCTCCCGAACTGTGTTTGATGGCGCAATATATTCCTCAACTGCTTCTATGTTTGTTTTGTCTTTTCATTTTATTTTTGACTTCATCTGTAGTGTAGTGCATGCAAGTGATTGAAATTTATAAACAAAAGGATGTGTGCAAATATTGTGGCGTTACTTGTGAAGTTTCAGACTTTTTCTTGAATAACTAGAGTTAGATTTTAAGTTGTAGAGAAAATCTTAACCTGCTTCAAAACAATTCCACAAGGAAAGAACACAAGAAGCCCAGACACAAAAAACCAGGCATAACTGATCCAACTTAGCAAAACATGCAAACCATTTTGGCGTGGGTTCTGTCAATCAAGTACCTATACATCTGTTGAGTTTGAGCAGGTTCCATATTGTGGATTTGTTACTCTTGCAGGGTATGAAAATTTTCAACCACATGATTCAACCTGTTTGCACTCTTACACACCAGATAAAAAAAATAACATTTAAAATAAGGATTTCACGCACATATCAATGTTTCACTCCCTAAATTTGGGTTTCATGCCCAAAAATCACCAGTAACTCGTGTTTCCCCATAAATCATCATTCAATGCTGACAAAAAAGGCTTGTAGCCTATTGTTTGGTTTGTGGATTGCATGTTGTCATTTTCAAGAATTTTGTTGCATGCAACGAATCTTGAATGCCCATACTGAAAATTTTGTTTGCTTGCAGTGGATGTTAAAAAGAATGGACAATATCCAGCCAATTGTTCTTTTTTCCCCTCTTTTCGCTGGTTCATGAATTTTAGGGAAGATACCTGACTGGAATAACAAATCTGACAGGGATTTGCGAGATTTTCACAGATCACATTTAATGCATCTATCCAATGTGGCAATCCCAATTCCTGAGTACGAAAACTACCATTCAAACAATGTAGTGAATAAAAATTCATGATTTTAAACTTCTCAGCCTCATTTTTCAATGCAAATTTACAAAAAGTCCATGCCATATTCACAAAAACAAACAATTATTAATAGGTAAAATTAACTTCGGATTTAAGAAGTCTGTTCCTATAAGTTGACATAAAATATTTCTTTTATATTAGGTTATCAAAATGATTTGAAAATAAAACTAGAATATATCCTGCCTTTGCAAAAAGTTCTGGAAAAAAAAATTGTAAAACATAATCTATCTAAGATTTACCAAAATAATTTATAAACTTAACCGAAAGTTCATTTTCTAGATTAATTCTACCATATTGGTCTTACCCTTGACTTCATTCAGGCTATCATTGTATGAATTTGCCCTGCATGACTGCATCATATGCTCACATCAATACAATTTGTCAATTTGTTTTGTACACAAGCAAGACTAGTATTATACTTACTTAGAGTTAACTGTAGTCTTCACCTATGAAGCACGGACACGCATAACATGAAGCCGTGTCGTGTCGTGTCCGTGTCGGACACACGTGTCGAACACACGTATCCTATGTATTTTTTAGGATTTGTCTCGTGTCGGCGTGTCGGATGGCCGTGTCGGATCCGTGTCCGTGCTACATAGGTCTTCACTTGGGAGAGCTTTTAGCATAGTGTAGGGATGATAATACCTATTTAGATTATATTATGAGCATCACTGCTTCCTTAATTGTTATTAGATAGTCATTTGAAAGATACACTACCACCGTGAGTAACTAAGAACTTAGAAGATAAGCTTATGGAAGGAAGATGCATATCTCAAGGGACATGCCTGATGCACCTTTTTATCCTATATGTTTCCACCAAAGTTTTGTGAGAGATGGAATGTATTCTACTTTCATTAGTTTAAATGATGAACTCTAAATGCAAGGCATTTTCCAACTATTCTTTTAAGGTATTTAAGATTAAAAATTGGGAGAGAAACTTTGACTGTTTTATTGTCATCCTTCCACAACTTGAAATGTTAATACCATTGAATAATAAAAAGTTTCATTGAAAAGAGTAGTTCCATCTTCGTTTAGTTTGTGCTGAATAAAATTATACTCTATTGCTGAAGGTTCGAAGGGAGTTCAGCAATCAAATCCCCTCTGCTGTTGCGGAAGTTCAGGCACTCACTGCAGCAGACTCGTCCTATGGGAAAGCAGATCTTACTCTACTTTTCAAAATGGCAGCATATGAAGCAAAGAAATCTCAGCAACAAGGTCGGATTTTTAGAGTGGTAAGTCTGCTGGGATTTTTATTTCCTGTGTTGCCGACTATCATGAAAGCTTCATGATTGGCGTAAAATATTTAATGTTGATTACCTGTAGACCCCTTGTAGTATTGTTGTTCTGTGACTATCCTTCAAGTGTTATTGTTTGCAGATGTACCCTTGAGTGCTTTTTTTAATTCTTTTACTCTCATGGGGTCTATCTGTCAAAAAACCAAATTTCTCTTTCTCCAAGGGTAAAGGAGTAAAAAAATCACTCAGGGGGTCTATCTGCTAAAATATATTGCAAGGGTAGTAAGTTCGAAACACTGATACTATAGGAGGTCTATGCACAATTAACGCAAATATTTATGATGGTTGATTGTACCTACAATGTGCTAATCCTTTCTTCTGATTTTTGCTTGCACTTGTATCTTGCTCCTTGATGGTTTTGATCTTGCCAATATCATCTTGTATTTCCATATATTCAAAGATACTTTCTGTTCTACTGTCCGGTATTTTCCTTAATGTTTACATCTTTGTGACATTTGGTTGGAGGGCAGAGAGAGCATAGTCTCTAGAGGACATAGGAGCACATTGACAATAATGTTTCTAAAGGAGATTTGCTCTTTAATAGCATATGTTGCAAGTTTTCTTCCACTCTGGAAACCGGGACAGGGTTATAATTTCCTTAAGGAGACCTGTCAAAGCATAGTTTGTGAGATTCCTGTTTTTGGTTTTGGGTTGGTGAAGTGTACCTAGGCACTTTCATATAAAATACATCGTGATGTTTCTATGTTTTATACACTACTTAAGGAATAATTTTGCGGACAAATTTTTAAAACCGACCCATTTGAACATTTAATTGTAAAAAACGACCCGTTTTCAAGATATTTGTAAAAACCGACCTGGTTTCAGCCCTGACGCTGAAACCAGGTCGGTTTTTGAAAAAAATCTTCCGAAACTTTACGGGAGTTCAACTCCCGTGAAGTTTAGCAGACAAATTATTAGTCTGCTAAACTTCACGGGAGTTGAACTCCCGTGAAGTTTTGAACTCCCGTGAACTTATTCAACTCCCATTGCTCTTCGCTCTTTCTCCAAATCCGAACAAGAAAAATTAAAAATAATCAAAGAATACACCTCCTCCTCCACCAGCATCTCCCTGTAGCTTCCTCTTCCTCCTCAAATTTAGACATCAAAGCTCTCCTCAACCTCAACTTCAAGAACTCCTCAAAAATTAAAAAGAAGAAGTAGAATCGTGTGAGATTTTGGGGGAATGCTGAGGTTGAAGGGAGCTGAGATTGAGAAAGACGCCATGGCCATGTCGAATTTTGTTAGGGCAAAAGATCCAAATTCATGGCATCTCAAATAAATCAAACAAAATTCAACAAAAAAAAACCCATTGGTAAAATCTGTCTCCCTCCTCTCAAGCTTCCCGTCCCAAAACATCACCTCAGCATCCGCCACCATCATTGCCGCCGCGCGTGCCGCCTTCATCGGAGACGACGCCATTGAGCTCTCCGCTCCGCCGCCGGCGTCGCCCATGACCGATTCCAGTGAGCAGGACACCTGCAGGTTGGGGACGTAGGGGGGTTTCGGCTAGCGACGTTGACCTGGCGGTTGGTGCTGAGGAGATTGGGCTGGCTTTGTAGGACATGCTGATTTTTTATTTTAGGGAGAAGGATGGGAGGAAGAAGTTTACATTGACGGCTCTGGCTGTGGGAATGAAGCGGAGAGATTTAATAATGAATGATGTCAACTTCACGGGAGTTCATCTCCCGTGAAGTTTAATTGCTCTGCTAATCTTCTGCTAAACTTCACGGGAGTTGAACTCCCGTGAAGTTTCGAAAGATTTTTTACAAAAACCGACCTGGTTTCAGCGTCAGGGCTGAAACCAGGTCGGTTTTTATAAATATCTTGAAAACGGGTCGTTTTTTACAATTAAATGTTCAAATGGGTCGGTTTTAAAAATTTGTCCATAATTTTGCCCATATCTTGTTGTATCCCTCACTCATGTCCATGTCTCATGGTATGTAGTGAATAATTAATGTTGTGGATAAATTTGGTAGGCAATAGAAACTCTTGGATTGCATGTTGAGCCTGCACTATTTCCTTTGGGTAAAATTTCACAACAGAAANNNGGGGATTTTTGAAAATTATAGAAGAATTCCGTGAGAGATGAACTTTCAAAATTAACAAAATTATAGAAGAATTCCGTGTAACTGTCATGAACTATTGGAAATTGGCACAAATGGCTTTAACGTGAAAGGAAAAAGGTGTAAACTACCCTTGTTAATATCTATCAATTCTAATCCGTAAACATCTCTCTCAGTAAAGTAAGAATTGCATAAAGGAATCTATTGTCAATAGACGTTATGTGTGAACTGTGAAACAGGTGACAACTTAAACTAATTACTGACATTCATAGTACTTTGGTGAAAAAATTCATAGGAGTTTTCTCCAATTTAGAAAGTCTACAAGGGGGTTGTGCAGCATCCTTCTGATGTGTGCGTGTGTGGGTGCGTGTGTGTGAAATTCACCCTTTCTTTTTCTTTATATTGAGGCCTAGTAGAACTGGTACTTCTAGTTGCAACTTCGGGCAAACTTCTTTGAATGTCTCCTGAATTTTTGACCCATTTCCTTTGTGCAATTAATATTAAGATTTTATCTAATTCTACAATCTTTTGTCTTTCAAAGAAGAAAAATATTTAACATCAACACCTTGTTTGGGGTGGGTGGGTTATTTTTTTGTGCGTGTTTGGGGGGGTTATAGTGTTTGAACTTACCCTTTGATGCAGACAGGCACGTGCACGAGATTTTCGACATGTTTATCGGCGAGGAGACGTCGTTTTTCAACTTTGCATCGGATCCCTTCTATGTGGTTTTGATTTTTAGTTTAGTAGTTATTTTAGTTTTAGTAGTTAATTTGAAATTTGAATTGTGGGTTAGATTTGGTAGTTATTTAGTTTTAATATCTGATTGATTATGAAAGATTTGATTGATTTTGTTAGATTTCCAAATCTGTAATTTTTCTCTTTAAAACACTGTTGTAATCAGATTTGAGGTTTTGAAAAATTGAATGAAAAAAAAAAATTGTTAGCTGAAATTTTTGGTGTGAAGTCTTGGGTGTGAAACCCTAGGTCGTTCCCTGTT